AAAATAAAATTGTAATTAATAAAAAATATTAATAAATTATTCATTTTAAATATTTTTAGAATCAAGGATTCAAAGTTTTAATAACATAATTGAATTGCATAAAATTATTGAGATATATTGACATAAGGTAATAATTTATTAGAAATATTTTCTAGTTTTATAATTATATTGATATATTAACTCAGATAACTGACGTACTTATAAAGCAATGATGATAATTAATTTTAGAATAATATATAAGTAAAGAATTTTTTGTTTTATGGTTTTGTTAATTGTTACTATTGAACTATGAACAAAGAAAAAAATAAAAAAATCAGTCCATCTTTTAACCTTTCTTCTTTACAATGACCAAAACGATCATTAACTGGGCAAGGTACAATGAATAATGAAAAAATATTAACAAATTCACCTTGAACTTCGTTGCAATCAAAATCATCTGCTTCAACTACACCATTGACTAATTCTTCTCGAGTTTCATTGCAATCAAAATCACCTACTTTAAACACTTTAACAATGCTATTACAATCACTTATATTAGCAAAAACAATCACATTGTCTCAAAGAGCACAATTAACTGCATCAACACAATCGACAAATTTAAACAACTCATTGTAGTTCATTTCTTTAACTAAAAAAAAAAAAGCTGATGCAACAACTTCTAACCTTCCTATGACTACTACTAGCAATAAGTTTAGCAAACAATCATCTATGAGTTTTGTAAGTTTTATTTTATTTTATTTTATTTTATTTTTAAAAAAAATACTTAAAAATATGATAATTCTTTTATAATTTAGCCCCAAGTCATTGTTGACTCTTCTTCTTCCACTGTTCTTTATGATGAAAATCCAGATTAATATGTTTATGTCATTAATATGTATTTTATCTTTTAATATATTAACTAATAATGTATTATTTATTAGTGCTACTGCCTGTTGATTTATGAACTCTGTCAAAGATTTTAAGCATCAGACAAAAAAGCTTCACCCAAATTCAACATATTACTAGAAGACAAGCTAAACTTGAATATCTTATTACTGAACAATAAAAGCAGCTTGAACAGGTTCTTGAAAAGTTAGATGATACTGAAGAAATGCATAATCCTGCTATGAGCAAAAGAAAAGGGAAAAGACAATAGAAGAAAATGGCAAATAATTTGTTTTAAGTAGTTGCTTTTTAACTTATTAATTAGATTTAATTTTTGTATTATTCATCTATGTATTCATTACATATACTGTAGGAAGCAGTTAAAGAACTTTCATATGAATTATTTTATGACTATAAGCAAATAAACGATGTCAAAATAAAAGTGCAACTTAAAAATAAGTTAGAAAACAATAAAAATTGTGCAAAACACTTGCACCTTTTAGAAGAAAAAAGGGTTTTTATTTGAAAGATTGTGGCATGAAAAATTATATTCAGATGTCAGTATTTTCTAATAATATTACATGTAACATATATATATAATCTTTAATAATGTTACATAATATATATATATTAACTTTGTTTATACATAGATGTTAGCAGCAAATCGTCTGAAAAAAGGGTACTATATTCATCATGTTAAGGAAGAACTTTGGGCTACCTTTGGCATTAGTAGAATTAAACCATTCAATGAACACAATACAAAAGACCAATGAAACAATAAAAACAGGATTCTAGAAAAGCTTATAAAAACTTATATAATCTAAATGATCCAACTAATCCAAATTCTGATACTTTTCTTGCTTCAATTGTACAGTATATTTTTGTTTCTAAAGATGAACAGACTCATATGAATGCTATCTGGACCCAAGCAATATTGGAAATTATCTTTGACAAACATTATCTTTCTGCCAAAATGATTCTAAAGTTATTGACATTTGGTTCCAGAAGCTTTTAAATGAAAATAACATGGTAATGTATATTTATTGTGTATAGTAACCAATAAATCAGTATTAGTTACTATACACCTAATACTAATTATCCTATTAATTGCCATTCGGTTATTTTTTTTTTATTTTCTTGAAATTTTTTTAATTTTTAGAATATGGAAATTACTTATGATGAATCTTATGAATCAAATGAAAATAATGATGATGAAAATAGCAGAAATTTGTCTAAATCATACTATGAAAACAACCAAAGTGATAGTATTGATAAAGATTATAATGATAATAATGACAATGATATTGAATAGGGGCAGAAAATAAAGATAATAAATAGCTATAGGAGGTTGTTTTCCTTGAATAGTCATAGTTATATAACTTACTGTTTAATAAATTAGTTAATAGCATATTATTAGTTTACTAGTTTATTAACACATTAGCTAATAAATTTGCAAGTTTTTTCACTATATTAATTAATAAAAATAATTGTTTAATACATTATTCTGAAATGTTTAAACAGTATTAGTTAATTTTTTTGTTATTTAATACAATAAACTTTATTGTTAAACATGTTAACTAATTAAAATTAGTTGTTTAATATTAATTGTTTAATATAGTTAGTCTGTATAGGGTTTGTTTTCCTATACTATTTTAGTATTAAATAACATTATATGTAAACTAATGCTTTTCAAATGCTTTTGAAACTTCCTGATATCATGTGACAACTATTTTCTATATATTCTATTCTTTATTAAAGATATCTCAATCTGTCTCTTCTTTATTAAGATTTTTGGGTCTTCCTTAAATATATGATTATGAATAAGCAATTATGCATTTATATTTATACTAACAGATCTTAAGTAAATGTGCTTCTTACTAAATTATAAACTCTAGTTATCACTTATACATTAGAATCATAATAAAAGTACAAAATGCAAATTTTAACCTTTTTAAAAAAATTTTTAGCTGAATATACCCATATTTTATTGTTAATTAAAAATTTAGTGACTTTTTTCCAATGAATCTTCTTAAAAGATTTTAATGACTTTGAAAAAGTGTTGGATAACTTGAAAACTATTTGTTTCCAATTGTGGTTTTTTATAGGTTGATAATTAATCTAGTGAAATTTCTAGATTAATTTGATCAATGTTCTTATTACTATAAAAGATGCAATCTACACTATCTTTTTTGGTAATATTCCTAACTGTACTAAAAGGAAAAACAATATCTGATTACTTATTATACAACCTCCTAACTCCAACAACAATATATTTACATTCAATACCAATATAGATTAATTTATTCTTAAAATTTTTTTTCAAAATTTTACTATATATATCTGCTTTTACTAATTAAAATAATTTTAAGGGTCCCTTTTACCCTCTTCTGTAATTAATGATTACAATAGTAGATTTAACTAAAACAGAAAATTAAAGGTTAATATTATACTAGATGTCATTATATATAGAGCAACAATAGTGTAGTTTAGGAATATTTCATTTATATATTTATATCCAATTGATATATTTATGTATTATTATTTTTTTTACTTGATATTATATTAATAAAAAAAAAACAAATATCTCTGTTAAGTTATTAGTGTATAACAATCAATAAGTATAACCAAATGATAAAAAGCATTTTAAATTAGCTGAAATTAACAAATTGAATAAACAAATAAGGCTTCTTGGCATGTTTTTTCTGTTAAATTACTATTAAAAATTAGTTCTTTTATATTTTGTGTTGCTTCTATGCTATTCTAATTTGCATATTTATTGGTTTAATTTCTCTAATACTTCTAATATCTTGCTCAATAGGTTAGTTAATTCTTCAGACTGTTATTTTGGAGCTTTTTTGGCTTTCTTTTTCTTTTAGACTTCTTGCTTTATATGTTTCCTTACTTGTTTTCTTACTTGTTCTCTAAACATTTTTATTTTTTATTTAATTATTGGTAATTAATAAGTTTATAATTTTATGTATATTGTTCAGTCATTTCTGTTGCAATCTTTTTCATTACATTTTTCATAGTCTTTGCTAAATATTCAGTTTATTTCTTTATTCCTGCCATATTCCTTATATTTTATAAATTACAATATTAGAATAATTACTAATAAATCTATTTTCTCTGTTTTTTGTTTTTTTTGCTTAATTCTGTGTCAATATAAATAATATAATATCCTTTCTGCTATTAGAAGTTTTCTCTCTAGTCTGAGTTTTGGTTTACTTCTGCTTATCTTTTTTGCTTCCTTTTTTCATATATCTAGTTTTGTTTCTTCCTAGTTATCAGTTCACTGCTATAGTATTTACTTTTTTTTTTTATATATTCCTCTATCTTTTTTAATTACTTTGTGTTATAATTTTTATCACATTTGCTATTTTCTTATTTATTTTAGTATTTAGTATCACAAAAAAATAAGGTGCCTGAATTTTGTTGCCTGCCTGTTTCATCATTTTCCAATAGGTATAAATATCTCATCTCAATTTCTTTATTTAATTCTTTATTACATTTATAACATTTTATATTATTATTAATTTTTTTTCTTACTTATGGCCTCCTAGCACTCTTGGTAATATATATATATAGTATATGCATAGTAATAAAAAAAAAAGAATTTTAGTAGTATTTGAAATTTACTAAGGGTAATGATTTGGACTGCCCATTTAATTCTAGAATTTTTTATGACAAAGGTAAGATACAAATAATAACAAAAGATTCTTAAAAGAAATTTAAATGTTGTTAGAGAATAAATCATACTTAGATTTTTTATGAAAACATTCTAGAGGTTGCTATGAATGAAAAAAGATCATTTGAATGGTATTTGCAATCTGTTGGTAACAATTCAATAGGCAAACTAATTTGAACTCTATTATTAAAGTCATATAAATACAATTAAAGATTAAAAAAGGCATTAAAAATCTGCTAAAAGTAGGATTCTGCTATCAAAATTGTATAAATATAATAAGATGTTTGTGTTGTATTTGAAACCTAGTAATAATGCCATACAATAAAACTCTGCAACATACTAAAATATTATTATTAAAAAAATAAGTGTTACTATTAATTTTATTTCTATTTTTTAGACTAAGTTATCTAACATTATAATAATTTTTATATTAAGGACCAGATAGAACAGTTTAAAGTCTTAGGTTCAATTTACATTGTGACATTATGAAAATAATATAAGTATAAAAATTAATTAAAATATATAATAAAATTATTTTGTTAATTACTATTATAGTTTTTTATTATATAATAAAACTTATATTAGTTCTATATTTATAAATTTTTACAACAGATAGTTATTTGTTATTACTTTATTAACTTTTTACAATATTTGTATTTTAAGAATAGTTAACCCTAATTCAAGTAAATTATTACTATTATTTATTTTTAAATATCATAATAATATTAAAGTTTGCCTTATCGTTAATATTTAAAAAAAAAAATATTATTAAAGTTTTCAACAATTTAATCATACCTTAATATTTGAGTTTCTAATACAAATAAATCATATCAAATATGTTCAGTAATTGAACAAGAACAAAAAATTCTAAACTTTATCAAAACACCTAATATCAAGCTCTAAAAAAAACAAATAAATAAACAAAATTGAATTTAGTATGTTTAAATTATAAAGAATTTCAATGAACTGTAATAACAATTAATTTTATAACAATCATCATATCTTTAGTATATTAGAGAAAGCATGAGATATGATCTTGGTGTAAGTATTTGCCAAAAATTAAACTAAGTGTTTCACAAAAAAATGTTACAACAATGATTAAACTATAACCACAAATTAAAATTTGGAAATATACTGAATTTTTAATGCATCACTCTAAATTGGTATTAGTGTCTAGAATCAGAAATTGAAATAAAACATTTTAGAAATAAAATACAAACTATATTTATTACTTATGCCTATTTAATCTGTGAAGTATATTGAAACACAAACTATAAGTATTCAGTAAAATAAAAAATATTTCCA